AGAGGAAAGCCTAGACTTATACCTTTACTGGGCTATAAAAAGGGGAGTAGCCCCACCAGAGAAAGAGGCTGAGTAGGGAGCCCTGCCTCCCCTCACCATTAAATGGTAACAATCACACCCCCTCAGCCTGTCAGTAAAGTCTACATACAAAACACCTTCACTTTCACCCCCACCTGGCAGTAACCAGGTTCCCCTTCCATTCCCCACTGCGGTGGCATCACAGGAAGTACAGTGAAGAGCTGGGGCTTTCGCCACCATGCAACAGTAATGAGGACATCCTCCACTGCGGTGTCAATGAGGCCATGTGGGAAACAGTGCTGAGGTAAGTGGATCCTTCCACCAAAAGAGGTTTCAGTGGACATGTAGTGAAGAGCCAAACTCTAAGCTCTGTCCAGCACTGTCAATAGAATCCAAGTGGGAAACCTAGACTACCACCACCAACTGGCAGTAACAAGATGACACCCCCACCCCTGCTGATGGCCACAGCTGAAGCTGTGTCAGAGGAGGTCTGCTAAAAAGTAAGATTTAAATCTTACCCAGATCCAGAGCTTCATAAAATAATACCCAACATGTCTAGTGTCGGTCAAAAATCACTCATCATAATAAGAACCAAGAAATCTCAACTTGACTGAGAAAATACAAACAATATACATCAGCACTGAAATAAATCAGGTACTGAAATTACCTGACAAAGATTATTATTTTATTTTATTTTATTTATTTATTTATTTTCAGACAGAGTCTTGCCTCGTTGCCCAGGCTAGAGTGAGTGCCATGGCGTCAACCTAGCTCACAGCAACCTCAAACTCCTGGGCTCAAGCAATCCTGCTGCTTCAGCCTCCCGAGTAGCTGGGACTACAGGTATGCGCCACCATGCCCGGCTAATTTTTTCTATATATATTAGCTGGCCAATTAATTTCTTTCTATTTATAGTAGAGACAGGGGTCTCGCTCTTGCTCAGGCTGGTTTTGAACTCCTGACCTCGAGCAATCCGCCCACCTCGGCCTCCCAGAGTGCTAAGATTACAGGCATGAGCCACCACGCCCGGCCCTGACAAGGATTTTTAAAGTAGCTATGCTATAAACTAAAGGTATGTGTCCCCCTAAAACACATTCATATGTTAAAGCCCTTACTCCCAATGTGATGACAGAACCTTTGGAAGGTAATTAGGTTTAGATGAGATCATGATGGTGGAGCTCCCATGATGGGGATTAGTATCCTTATATTAATAAGAAGAGACACAAGAGCTTCTGCTCTTGGCCATGTGAATATTCAGTGAGAAGGTAGACATATACAAGCTAGGAACAGGTTCCTCAACAAGAACCAAATCTGCCAACACCTTGATCTTGGACTTCCCAGATTCCAGAACCATAAGAAATAAATGTCTGTTATTTAAGCCACCCAGTCTATGGTACTTTGTCATAGCAGCATAAGCTAAGACAATGCTTCAATAAAAATGCTTCAACATTCAATTACAAATCCTCTTGAAACAAATGGAAAAACAGAAAATCTCAGAAAGGAAATAGAAGTTATAAAAAAAAGAACCAAATGAAAATTATAGCACTGAAAACTGCAATAATACAATTTTTTAAAAAAACTTAGTAGATGGGCCCATGACATGACAGAGGACAGAATCAGTGAATTTGAAGATACATCAATAGAATTCACTTAATCTGAACAAAAGAAATAAAACAGACTAGAAAAAATTGAAATTGACCTGTGAGAAAATACAAAGGCCCAACATTCATATCAGAATTCTAGGAGAAGGAGGAGAGTGGGGCTAAAAGAGTATGTGAAGAAATAATAGCAGAAAAGATCCCAAATTTGGTGAAAGACACAAACCCACATATCTAAGAAGCTGAGCAAGCCACAAACAGAATAAACCCAAATAAATCCACACTAAGACCCACCATGATTAAACTTTCAAAAACTAAAGATACAGAAAAAAATCTTAAAAACACCCAGAGGAAAACAGACACATTACCTATAGGTTAACATCAATTTGAGTGACAGCAATTTCTCATGTAAAACCACAGAGACTAGAAAAAAGTATCAAAATATTTTTCAAGTGCTGAAAGAAAAGAACTGTTATCCATGAATTCTATATCCAGAAAAACTATCCTTCAAGAATAAAAGAGAAAAAAAAAAAGTTCTCAGATGAAGAAGAAATAAGAGAATTTGTTGCTAGCAAGCTTACCCTTAAAGATTGGCTAATATAAGTTCTTCAAACAGAAAGGAAATTGTTTTAGTTTCCTAGGGCTGCCAGAACATAAAACTGGATGGCTTAAAACAACAGAAATGTATTATCTTATAGTCTGGAGACTAGAAATCCAAAATCACAGTGTTGGCAGAGCCATGATCCCTCTGAAACCTGTAGGGGAGCCTTCTTCAGTGCTTCTTAGCTTCTGGTGGTTTGCCAGCAATCCTTGGTGTTCCATGGCTTGCAGCTACAACACTTCAATCTCTGCTTCCCTCATCACCTGGTGTTGTCTCCTCATGTTTCTATGTGTCTCTTCTTTTCTTATAAGGACATCACTCATACTGGAATAAGGGCCCATCCTATTCCAGTATTACCTCATCTTAACTAATTATATCTGTACAACCCCACCTCCAAAAAAGGTCACATTCTCAGATACTTGTGGTTTAGACTTCAAGATTTTGGGGGGGAGATATAATTCAACCCATATAAAAATTACCAAAAAAAAGTTTACATACTGTGTAATTTTTATATAACATTCTTGAAATGACAAAATTAGAAATAGAGAACAGATTTGTGGTTGCCAGGAGTTAGGAATGGTGGGGAGGAGAAAGGTGTGACTATAAAAAGACAGCAGTAGGAAGATCTTTGAGGTGATGGAGATTCATCTTGATTGTGGTGGTAGTCACATGAATCTATACATGGGATAAAATGACAAAACTACATACACATTGTACCAATGTCAATTTCTTTGGTTTTGATACTATACTATAGTTCCTTAAGATGTAACCATTGAGAAAACTGGGTGAAAGGTGCATGGAACCTATTATATTTCCAACTTCCTGTGAGCTATAATTATTCCAAAATAAAAAGTTAAATAATAAGAAAGTAAAAATTAAGTCACAATTACAGGCTAACAATTTAAATTTTTTGTAGATAACCCAAAGTTTTTACTCATAAAGATGTTTTAATAGATATTTTTGTACTCTAAGGAACTAGCTTAGATGATGACAGTAAAACAGTTGTTTTAATACTATGTGTAGAGACAAAAAAAAAAAAGGAAGAATCTAGAGGGCAACAATCAAGTGGCCCCTAGAACTTGCACATTAAGTGAACCCATGAGGATTAGACTAGCAAAATCAGCTTGTGACACATGAGTCTGCACAACAGTATTGTAGGCCAATAAATCTCCCTAATTAAGTAAGAAGAACCAGGCCCTGGATCTTATTAAGATAATACTAAATAAAAAAGAAAGCAGTAGGGTAACAATGGTAATATATAGGAAGAAAAACTGAGCCAGCCAGAAACCTAGAGAAAGTGAAGGCAAAAACCCCAGGAAGTGGGCAGTACTGAACTCTGCAAGCACTGCTCAGAAGCTGGCTATGGACACCAAGATCTGGCTCATGTCAGAGCTCTGCCCTTTGTGGGGGTACAGATGATTTACAGGTTTTCTATTTCTCTCAGAACTATTACACTCCCCTTATTCTTGTACATTTACCAAGAAATCTTTTAATAACCAATTCCATCTTTGCTTTAACACTGTCTGTTACGGTATTGGAGAAGTATCTTCTTAGGGTAAATTAACTACCTGACATTCTGGTCAGTCCTTCATGAGTATTGGTTTTTATATTTAAGTTGGTCCTTACAGCCAAATTAACTCTGGATATATTAAAACAAGTTTCTGTAATAGATTTGTACAGTTAAGGACTACATCCTAAATCAAGAAGGCACACTTTGAGGCTAGCCAGTTGGCCTCTCTCTAAGGTACCTCTATCTTGTTCTCTCACTTCACATGTAATAAATGAGCCTTGCAAATAGCTCTCCAAAATCCTATTCAACTCACAAAATTCAAACAGACCTACTTTCATCTGCCAGGGCCATTCTCTTTCCCCTCCTACTCACTGCTATCTAAAATCATTCTCCAAAATGCATATTCTACATATAGCATCTATCATGAACACAGATTCCTAACAAATACGATAAAAGAGCAAAACGAGCAAAGCAGAATGCATTTCTTTAGCCAACACTGGCAACGTGCAAGTTCATGATTTCATTTCTTCTGGTCAGCCCTGAGTCCTAAGGCCTTAGGTATGTGAAACACCACACTATGATCCTGCTAAATTCTGCTTTAATAAAGGTCCACAACTGTTCTATTTTGAAAATATCTAAAAATTAAAGGTGGTCAACAATATTCTTGACGATAACCATAAACAACAACAAAAAATATTCCTACAAATTCTTCCATTTACACTTGGTTACTGCATATTTTCAAGATATTACAGGAATCCATATTCTGAAACATGATAACTGGAAAACCTAAAAAGGACACAGACACAGCTAGCTTACTTGCACTTTGTATGTGAAATCATATGTTTTCCCACAAATTACATTTTGGAGTTTGAGAGTATTCTACAATGAATTCCACATCTGTAGCAAATGAAATTTAAATGATTATCAAAAAGCATTTCTTAGGATTTATTTGCTTAAAAAAATAGAAGTGTCATTTCCCTAGAATAGACTAAAAACACAAATTAAATTTATAGACTTCTATTTCAAATAGGATTTAACTCCTTAACATGGAACAGGCCAGCACAAAAGCTGGAAAAGTCACTTTTTGTTTGCATCATGGTTACTGATTTTCATACCTGGGCAAGAAAGCACAGCCTAAATGCTTCTATAACTTGGTTCTTACAGGTGTGAGTTGCTAAACTGTCAGTCATGGACAGTTGGGGACAGTACTGCTTTAGAATAACAGAGGCATCTGATGTGGATGCTACTCAAAATAGTTTAAATTTTCACTTACCTCCACTGCTACTACAATCAAAATGAGGTCTGTTTTTGACTCTGGAAAGACTGCATTCACTTGAGGTGACATTCCAATGAGAGCACAGTTAGTGACCACAGATATAACACTCATTGTTTCAAAAGCCAACTAAAAGAAAAAAGAATGTGAAATTTAACACTGCAATGAATGTTTCTACATTTCCTCACCCTTTTTCGTATTATCTAAAAATCAAGGAAAAAGTCTTACCCTAGTTCTAAACATTCCAAGTATATTTTAAACTTTTTTCTCTGTCATGCTATGATTTTCTTTAGCTGAAAAAAGCCATACTGTTAGAAAGTATTTTAGATACTTTTGGCTTGAATATCTCAAAGCAGTATGTTCTACCTTCCTAATTGGAGGCAGCCAGGGACTGAATTTGAAATACTGTTAAAGTTACTGTACTCATATTATAATGGATATCTAAAGTAGGGCTGCCAGAGAAAATGTTTCATGTTCAAAACAGGTAAACTTTCAAAAAGAACTGATGTCATGCCACTGTCTTTTTACTTTGACATATCACACACCAGATCTCGTTTAGCTAAAACCAGCTTTATAACCAAGGCACCAGTTATAAACAGTGATCCCTTCCTAGCAGCATTTACCAAATCACCTGTAGAACTACAGCAGCTAGGCCCCACTAAGACCTACCAGACTCTGATCCAGGATCCCATGACGGAGACTTTGGTGCATACTACTGCGGATGGATATAGAAATGTTGTGACCACTGCTTTTTTTTTTTTTTTAAATATAAAGCACTTTATGATCACTACTTGATAACTTAACCACTAATTCCGAGAAACACTATTGGAAACATAAATTTTAAAAGAAGGGAAACAAAAGATGATTGAATCCAAACTTAATACATATATCTCCTCCCATGGAAAATTTCTGCCATCTTATAATTTAGAAATCCTTGGTGTCATGTGATGATTTTCCCATAGTTTTCTTAACAACAAACCTACTCAAGACTTTCTTTACCTTCTCTATAAATAGCTTCAAATTTCTATTTACTTACTTTTGATACATTCATATAGTTTAAAAATCAAAAGTTCTAAGTATATAGTGAAGAATCTCTCGGTCCCTTTGTCCCCTTATCTCCCACTTCTCAGCTCCTGTTCGCCCCCAAAAATAACCACAATTGCTAATTTCTTATGTACTTCGTATGCAAACGAATATTTACACTCTTTCTTACTTCCTTTTCAGCATAATATACACTGTCATGCCCCTTGCATTTGTCATTTAAAGTGTCTTAAAGGACTTTCTGTGTCAGTAGTAAAGGAGTTTCCCCATTCTTTGTCACAACTGCTGAAGTATTTTATTGCATGGATGTACCAGAATTCACTTAACCATTTTCTTTATTGGTGAGCATTTAGTTGCTATGACAAACAATGCTACAATTAGTAACCTAATATGTACATCATTTAACAAGAGTGGAAGTAGGCTAAATTCCTAAAAGTGAAATGGCGAAATCAAGGGGGACATGCGTTTGTAATCTGATAGATAACCAAGCTGCACTCCACGAGGTTGATCGGTTCACACTTCTACCAGCAATATATAGAGTGCCTGGCTTCCTCATCTTGCAATTCTTTTGTAACTAAACTTTCAGGGTTTATTTTTTTTTAATCACCTATACTGAGTTATAATTTATATACAATAAACTGAATTCATTTAAGGTACACACTCCACTAGGTTTTGATAGGTATATTCACCTGTGAAACCACCACCACAAATAGGATGCAGAACATTTCCATTTCCCCCAAAAGATTCCTCATGCCCCTTTGCAATCCATCCCTCTCTTTACAACTGGCCCTAACCAAACACTGACCTGCTTTTTGTCAATATAGATTAGTTTGCATTTTCCAGAATTTGATATAACTGGAATCATACAGTATATTTTCTCTTGTGTCTACTTCTTTCACTTGGCATAATGATTTAGACATTGATCTATGTTGTATGTATCAGTAATTCATTCCTTTTTTACTGTTGAGTAGTGTTCCATTTTATGAATATACCAGAATTTTTCTTATCCATTTATCTACTGATGCCAAGTTGGGTCATTTCCAGTTTTGGATTATTGTGAATAAAGATGCTATGAACACTCCTGTGCAGCCTTTGTAGGGAAATATCCTTTCATTTCTCCCGGAATTCTTTCTTCCCATTAGACCTCCACTGATACCTCCTTTGCTGGGAGAGGTACAAGTGCCTCATATGTGTTCCCATGTGGCCTCCACTGTGCCAGGTGCTGGTGAAAGTGCTTACATCCCACTATGGTTCTTCTGAGACTGCCCCAGCAGGGACTAGAAAGAAAGCCTTATTACTGCCAGGTAATGAGCAGGAATCAGGGCTCCCTATGTGGCCTCCACTGACACTGCAGCAGGCGGCGCCTCGTTACTAGTCACTACCTGTTTAGACGAAGTCTCAGCTGGCTACTTTCCTACCAAATTGTCAAAGTTTTACATCTGAAAGGTGTCTTAGAGATTATATTTTACCTCTTTCAACCCCCAAGAAAAGTGATGCCAGAGAAAGTTAATGACTGCTTAGGGTCACATAGCTAGCAGCAAAGCAAGGACTGAAAACCAGTAAATTCAGTTTCTAAAATCTCTCTTTAAGGTTTGCCTTTTTTTTTTTTTTGGTCACAACACCTCTCTTTTTTATTTTTTCTCAAATACTTACCTGCCATACACCAATACTGGCTGAAGGTTCTGAGAACGGACGTTTGAAGACCCTGCACATTTTTAAGGCATCTGAATTGACTTCAGTGAAGTTATTTAATACAGCAAAGGCAGCTGCTAATGGATAAACACAGGAGAAAAGGCTCACATAACCAAACTGCAGGAATAACTCCAAGTAATCATCGAAGGTACCCTGAAAATACAACCAACAAGAAAGCATGCACTGTTTTAATATCATCTAACAGGAATATTCTTTTGCAATATTATTTGAGGCATTGGCCTCTAACTATTCAAAAAGCCCTCAAAGACCTTCCCCCAATTCTTTCTTCTCAACCACAGAATTTACTTAAATTCAAAGGCAATTTTATATTAAGTTCCTGAAATAAAGAATGAAAAATGATGTAGCTGCACATTTCATTGTGCAAAATCACTGAATTACTAGATTTTTCCTTGAGTAAACAACAGCAAAGCTAAAGATGTTTGCTCTTGACCAACTAAGAAGAAATGATCCAGTATCATAGAGATCTTTTATGATGTCCCCCTTACATCATGAGCACCCAGAATGTCATTCCCCCACTCTCCATTAAAAAATTGATGGTGGTAGTACCAGTGAAAACAGTAGAGTAACGACCACCAAAAGTTGACCCTTCCATAAAAACAACATTAAAAAATCCAATAAAATTTGTCAGAATCAACTCTTTTAGTACCCTGGAAACTAACCAAAGAGTTGCCGCAACCTAAGCAGCATTTAGTCAAGAAAAACAGCTGAATTTTACAGTATTTTAACTTACTTTAGTCTCTGTGGCAGCTTTGAAACATAATACCATGCAGGAGGAACAGAATATTAGGGAAACAGAGCGGGGCTGAAAATCTTTGAAAGACTTATCCCCAAGGAAAGTCCTTATCTGACCTGATTGGTGGTACTCTAAAAGAACCACGTCAAAAGCCTGTCTTAATTCTACCTCACAGAGTCTCTCTTGGTGCTAAAGGCTTCTCCCTGGGGATGTCAGCCAAATTTTCTAACATAACGTTTGCTAGAGCAAATAATGAATGAGCTAGGGAGCTGAAAGGAAAAGCTGAGGAATGAGATGTCCATAGGTGATTTGAAGCACCAACATTTTCCTGGAAATCTGGAAGATCAGGCACACGTGTAGGACCATGCACATGCTCAGGAAAGATCTGAGAAGGCTCTAAGAACTCACACCTCTAACTGAACTCAAGGGTCTTTGACAGCAGGAAGTAAATGCTAAGGCAAAGTTTTAAACTTCCTGGCTGAGCGTTGATAGCATGGCGCAACAACAAAAGAGGGGCCTACCACACAGCTATAGAATATTCAATCCAATAAAAGAATATACATTATTTTCAAATGTATATAACACATTTTTCAAAATATGTGATATGTTAGATGAAACAAATCTGAAAGGCTTAAAATCATACAGAGTATTTTCTCTGACCACAATGAAATGAATCTGGAAATCAGTAACAAGAAATTTGGGAAATTCACAAATACATGGAAATTGAGTGTATATTGCAAAAAAATCTTCTGGGGCAAAGAAGAAACCACATAAGATATCAGAACATAATTTAAGATAAATGAAGACACAGCATACCAAAGCTTATGGGATGAAACAAAAGCAGTGGTCAACGGGAAACTTATGGCTGTAAATGCCTCTGTTAAAAAAAGGTCTCAAAACAACCTAAAGTTCCTCCTTAAGAAGCCTGAATAAACTAAACCCAAAGCAAGCAGAAGGAAATAAATAATAAATTCTAGAGTGAAAATAAATAAAATGAAAGTAGAAAAAGGATCAAAATTGGTTCTTGAAAAACATGAGGGAAAAAAGAGATAAATCACTATCTGGACTATGCAAGAGAAAAAGAGAAAAGATTCAAACTGCTAAAATCAAGAATGAAAAAGGGGACATTACTACTGGCATTACAAGGGAGAAAAGAGAATATAAGGTAATTCTATGAACACTGTATGCCAAAAAGATGAAATGGGCAAATTCCTAGATGACAGAACTATGAAAAGTGACTCAAGAAGAAATAGGGGCCAGGCACAGTGGCTCACACCTGTAATCCCAGCACTTTGGGAGGTCAAGGTAGGAGGATCACTTGAGGCTAGGAATTCAAGACCTGGGCAACATAGTCAGATCTCATTTCCACACACATGCGCACACACACACACAAATTAGCCAAGTGTGGTGGTGCATGCCTGTTGTTCCAATACTTGGGGGCTAAAGTGTGAGGATTATTTGAGCCTAGGAGTTCGAGGCTGCAGTGAGCTATGATGGCGCCACTGCACTGTAGCCTGGACTAACACACACCAATTCTTTTCAAACTATTACAAAAAATTGAAGAGAATTCTTCTGACTGGGCGTGGGGGCTCATGCCTGTAATCCTAGCATTCTGGGAGGCTGAGGCTGATGGATCGCTTGAGCTCAGGAGTTCGAGGCCAGCCTGAGCAAGAGTGAGACCCCGTCTCTACTAAAAAAATAGAAAGAAATTAACTGGACAACTAAAAACATATAGAAAAATTAGCCAGGCATGGTGGCACATGCCTGTAGTCCCAGCTACTTGGAAGGCTGAGGCAGGGCTCCTTGCTTGAGCCCAGGAGTTTGAGGTTGCTGTGAGCCAGGCTGATACCACGGCACTCTAGCCCGGGCAACAGAATGAGATTCTGTCTCAAAAAAAAAGAGAGAGACAGAATTCTTAATTCATTATATGGGACCAGCATTACCTTGATACCAGAGTAAGACAAGTACACAACAAGAAAAGAAAACTAAGGGTATTATCCCTGATGCAAGAGACCTCAACAAAGTACTAGCAAACTAAATCCAACAACATATCAAAAAGATAATCCACCATGATCAGGTAGACATTATCCCAGGGATGCAAGGATGGTTCAACATATGCAAAGCAATTAAGTGTGATACATCACATCAACAGAATGAAGACCAGAACCATATGATCATCTCAATAGACACAGAAAAAGCATTGGATAAAATTCAACATCCCTTCATAATAAAAACTCTCAACATATTAGGCACAGAAGGAACATAACTCAACACAATATAGGTCATATCTTACATATCCACAACTAACATCTTACTCAATGGGGAAAAGCTGAAAGCCCTTTCCTCTAAGAACTGGGAAAAGGCAATGATGCCCACTTTCACTATTCTTATTTAACATAGTCCTGGAATTTCTTTTGCCTAAGCAATTAGGCAAAAGAAAGCAGTAAGGGGCATCCAAATTGAAAAAGAAGATATCACATTGTTTATGTTTGCTGATGAAATTGTCTTATATATAGGAATACCTAAAGACTCTACAAAAAAAACTCAGAACTGATAAACAAATTTAGTAAAGTTGCAGGATAGAAAATAATCATACAAAACCAGTACCTATTATATATACCAATAACAAACTAGGTAAAAAAGAAATCAAGAAAGCAATTCTATTTACAATAGCTACAAAAAAAATTAAGTACCTAGGAATAAATTTAACCAAGGAGGTGAAAGACATCCATAATGAAAACTACAGAGTACTAATGAAAGAAACTGAAGAGAATATAAACAAATAGACATCCCATGTTCATGATTGGAAGACTACTGTTAAAATGATCATACTACCCACAGCAATCTACTGATTCAATACAATCCTTATCAAAATACCAGTGATAGCCTTCAACGAAATAATCCTAAAATTTATACAGAACCACAAAAGATACCAAATAGCCAAAGCAATATCAAGCAAAAATAACAAAGCTACAGGCACTACACTACCTGATTTTAAAATATACTACAAAGCTATAGTAATAAAACCAGCATGGAATTGGTATACAAACAGTCACACAGACCAGTCAAACAGAATAGAGAACTCAGAAATAAATCCACGTATATACAGCCAACTGATTTTCAACAAAGGCGCCAAAAACACACATTGGGGAAAGGACAGTCTCTACAATGCTGCTGGGAAAACTAGATATCATTATGCAAAAAACTAAAATTAGACCCCCATCTATCACCATATACAAAAAAAATCAACTCAAAATGGATTAAAGACTTAAGTGTAAGACCTGAACCTATAAAACCACTAGAAGAAAACATAGGGGAAACTCTTCAGGACATTGGTCTAGGGAGGCCAAGATTTTATGGCTAAGACTTCAAAAGCACAGGCAACAAAAACAAAAATAGACAAATGGGACCATAATACTAAACTATAAACTAAAAAACTATAAACTAAAAAGCCTCTGCATAGCAAAGGAAAAATTTACAGAGTGAAGAAACAATATGTAGAATGGGAGACACATTTGCAAACTATTTGTCTTTGTCCATTTGTGTTGCTATAAAGGAATACCTGAGGCCGGATAATTTATAATAAAAAGTAGTTTATTTGGCTCACAGTTCTGCATGCTGTACAAGAAGCATAGCACCAACATCTGCTTCTTGGGAGGGCTTCAGGCTGCTTCCACTCATGGCAGAAGGTGAAGGGGAGCCAGCTGGGCAGAGATCACATGGCAAAGGAGGAAGCAAGGGGCAGGGGGAGGTGCCAAGTTCCTTTTAACAACCAGCTGTCATAGGAACTAACAGAGCAAGAACTTATTCATTACTTCGAGAACAGCACCAAGCCATTCAGGAGGGATCTGCCCCCATGACCCAGCACCTCCTATTAGACCCCACCTTCAACACTGGGGATCAAATTTCAACATGAGGTTTGGGGGGAACAAACATCCAAACTATAGCGCTATTCATCTGACAAGAGACTAATATTCAGAATATACAAGGAATTCAACTGAACAATAACAAAAACAAATAATCCAATTAAAAAATGGGTGAAGCATCTGAATGGGCATTTCTGAAAAGAAGATATACAAATGACCAAACAAATACATGAAAAAACGCTCAACATGATTAATCATCAGAGATATGTAAATCAAAACTACAATGAGATATTATCTCACCCTAGTTAGAATGTCTATTATCAGAAAGACAAAAATAACAAAAGCTGGCAAGGATGCAGAGAAAAGGGAACTCTTATACACTGTTGGAAGGAATGTAAATTAGTACAGCCATTAGGGAAACTGGCATGGAAGTTTCTAAAAAACTAAAACCAGAAATACCATATGATCTGGTAATTCTACTACTGGGTATTTATCCAAAGGAAAGGAAATCGGTACATCAAAGGAATACCTGC